TGATGAACAGCAATGATGGGATGTACAACCCAATAAATTCCCACTCAGCATGGAGTGCCTGTAAATATGTCTTTCACTCATCCTTTATTACTTTCTGCTCAATACACACATCTTCCTTCTTGAGTTAAGATTTAAAGATGAGTCAACTAAAAATAGAGTCTTTCAAAGATACCTTTGTCAACTTTCAGTCAACTGTGCCATGTTTCAACTTCATGCAAGGCCTGTCAAAAGTTGGGCTATGTGAAGTAAGAATAAGAATTTAAAAAGACACCCTGAGAATACGAATAGCTGTCTTGCCAACTAAAACACCTTTTACATCTCCCCATTTGCACACACACCCATTATTCTTTCTTTGGACAAATGTATTTTGAGATATGGTCTCGAACTAGAGATTTGTGTCTGTGTGTTAAGTACCAGCAAGTCACTTCTGATTCATAGCAGCCCTATGAATGAATGACATCCAAAAATGTCCTGTCATTAACTGCCTTGCTCAGGTCTTGCAAGCTGAGGGTTGTGGCTTCTCTTATTGAGAATCCATCTCATGTTGGGTCTTCCTCTTTTCCTGCTGCCTTCAGTTTTCCCTTGTCTCCTCATAATGTGACCAAAGTATGATAGCCTCAGTTTGGTCGTTTTAGTTTCTGGCTTGATTTAATCTAGAACCCACTTATTTGCCTTTATGGCGGCCCATGGTATATGTAAAACAGGCCTCCAATACCACATTTCAAATAAATCAGCTTTGCTCTTGTCACCTTTCTTCATAGTCCAACCTTCACACCCATACATACAAATTAGGAATATATCATAGTGTGAATTAACTTAAGCTTGGTCACCAGCAGCACATCGTTACACTTAAGGAACTTTTCTAGCTCCTTCATGGCTGCCCTCCCCAGTCTCAGTCTCCTGATTTTCTTGATTGTAGTCTCTCTTCTCGCTGATGCTTCAGCCAAGGAATAGAAAATTTTTAACAATTTCAGTTTCTTCGTTGTCATCCTTAAAATTGTGTAATTTCTCGGTAGTCATTAGTTTTGTCTTCTTGTTGTTCAGCTGTAATCTTGCTTTGGCTGTTTCTTTTTTAACCTTTATCAGTAGGACAATGGAGGCAAGATGGCAATGGTGTAGCAGCACACTGAACGTCTCTCTCACTTTCTAATCATTTTATGGCTTTTTTCCTGCTGCATTATTGTTTAATTGCCAAATCCTGAATAGGCAGACAAAGATAAGCTATAGCATCCCTGAACTACTCAGAGATAAATGAAGCTTCCTATGAGTCATTTATAAAACCATAAATTAGTTTAAATCAGCAGAAGTAGCTGGAGATGCAGCTCATTATGAAGAAGCAAGGACCTAAGAAGAAATGACCTAGATCAGACTCCCACACTCAAGAGAGAGAAAAATCTTCGAAACAGCTGAAGATGAATAAGTAATTTAATGACCAGTACTGCCTCATGGAACCAAGTGAACTCGTAAGTAATTTACATTCCATAAATTCTTCCAGGGCTTTAAGAGGACACTCCCCTTTAAGGAAAAGAGACACACTTTTGACTGATACTACTCAGGTTTGAGAGAGTCCCATTTAGGAAACAGAGATGCTTCCCTGATTGATACTGAATTGAGTAATGGGGCTAATAGTGATACAGACACAGACTTGGAAGAATTGAACCAAGAAGAAGCAGGGAAAGATGACTGTGTCCCTGAAAACATCTGGGGAAAACATTCAGGCCTCTTGCAACAATTTCAAGCAAATCCCTTCTGCTTTGTCACTGATCAATGGCTGTTACTGGCAAACACAGTCATTTTGATCTTTGAACAGCTAACAAAAATATCTAAGGAAATAGAAGCCTTTAGGAAAGTTCTTGAGTCATTTATGGAAAATCTGAGATCTATCAGCATGGAACACTTTCAAAATAACTTGGTCAAGTTCCTTGTGACCCTTTGATTCCTTGAATCTTGTGGAACAAATCCCTTGTTGTTCTCTTCTGTTTCTTTATGCTGGTTATTATCATAGTTCTCATTGTCTCTATGTGCCAGTCGCTGGAACACTGCATTTAGACCTGATTTTATTTCTTTCACCTTTTACTTTTGCTTCTCATCTAACTAGCAATCCTAAGAGTTTTAACAGTCATTCATTGAGGCTTTTCATTTCTTTTGGCTACAGGAATAGTCTCTGTGCATTCTTCTTTGGTAATGTCTCTGCTTTCAGCCCATAGTTCTTCTGGTTCATATTCATTTGCACTTAGTAATGCAGATCTGTTCTTTACATGGTCTTTAATCTTTTCAGGACTGTTGTTTATATTGTAATTTGGCACTGTGAATGTTTTGGTGTTTTTCTTCAGCTTTATTCTAATTTTCGATATTAACAATTAATGTTCCATACCACAATCAGCTCCTGGTCTTATTTTAGCAGAAAGACTAGAGCTTCTGTGTCTTTTGCTTCCAGTTATGTAATCTATTTGATTTCTGTATTGGCCATCCGGTCATGTCCACGCAGTCGTCATTTCAGTTGCCTGAAACATGTATTCACAATAAACAACTTTTTGCCATAAAGTGCTTCAGCTGCCCATTTCCACATTTTAAGCATCTGTTAAAAGGACTGGAGGAGCTGCGGTGGCTCAAGGGGTTAAGACGCTGAACTGCAGGCTGTGGAAGGTCAGTAGTTCAGCAGTTCGAGACCCGAGTTGCCGCATGATGGAGTGAGCTCCCGTCTCTAGTTCCAGCTCCTGCCAACCTAGCAGTTCGAAAGCTAGAAATTGCAAGTAGATAAATAGATACCACTTCAGTGGGAAGGTAACAGCGTTTCGTGTGCCTTGGTGTTTAGTCATGCCGGCCACATGACCACGGAAACATCTTTGGATAGCGCTGGCTCTTCGGCTTTGAAACGGAGATGAGCACCGCAACCCTAGAGTCGGACTCGACTGGCTTTCGAGCAAGGGAACCTTTACCTTTACCTTTTTAAAAGGACTGGACATTTTTTCTCCAAGTTTGTTGGCAACCCTGTTTTTAGATATTCACATTTTGGTTAGTTTTTCTACACATGCATGTACTATGTTTGCTCTTTGCTCATTTCCCCTCATTTCTTTTTCCCTCTGACTCTTACACAAGTGCTTTCTCCACCATCCTCTTTATACACCTTTGTCTGTTTCACTCCTCTGTGTGGCTAAACACAGACCATACTTTGGGGGAGAGATGAAAGTCATTAGAGAGAACAAACGTGAGATAAGGGGAACACAGTTAGCAGTGTGTGCACGTATATTTGTTTTGTTTGTCCACTGTTATCTTTGGTCAAAGAAGTTTTGCATGGGATCCCCGCATACCAATGGGATGAGTGTGCATGCCAAAAATAGCAGCCCCTTTCCAAACTCCCTTCAGTCCCTGGAAAAAAATGTTTCTGTCCCCCAGCTCTTTCTTTCTGCTGGCTGTCCCCACTGCAATTGTCAATAAACAACTCCCACACGTGATATTAGGGAGAAAAGATAATGAAGGGGCCTGGCTCAGTGGCAGAGCATCTTCTTGGCATGCAGAATGTCCCAGGTTCAATCTCTGGCATCTCAAGTTAAAAGGAACAGGTAGGAGGTGATGTGAAAGACCTCTGCCTGACTGAGACCCTTTAGAGTTGCTGCCAGTCTGAGTTGACAGTACTGACCTAGATGGACCAATGTGAAATGTAGACATCCAAACAGCATACCTTTCGAAGTTACTTCTGTGACTGCTGCAAAAGAACCCTCATTTGAGGAGAAAGAGTCAAGAGCCTCACATAGGAAAAATGAGGAAGCGTGGACAGCCACTTGTCCATATGGATGTTGGATTCATGGCTAGCCTACAAGATAGTTAACATATTGCATGAGTCATGCAAAGGAGACATCATTATGGAAGAACTGCTTCTCCGTAATGTATTCTTGCACTGCTCCACAAAATGGATGTATAAAGGCACTGGGTGGAGGAATGATGCGGTTTCTCTGCTGGGCAACATCTGCATAGAAAGGAACTCCATCACCCCCCCCCCCCCAGGATTCCTTCACATGCAGGTTACAGGATCAGTGTGGAATCAGTTCTTGGGAATTAGTTCACATGCCACTGCAAAGCAAATATGAGTTGACTTCTCCAAACAACTCTCACAGGTAGTCTGTTGAACATCGCTTATGGCAGAGCTATTTAATGCCCCATTATGGAGCGAGGCAGTGTGCGGACAGAAGAAACTAATTCTGAGGCATTGTAAAGCCTTGTTATTTAAGGCAGCTTTTGAGAATAAGTGGTGAACAGGAAATGATGTGTACAATTTTAAGACTGTTGTTTGTTGTGGTTTTAATCAACTTTGGGCATTGTTGTATACACTTCTGCCTGTAAGCTGCCTTGTGCTGCCATCTGAGGATAGGAAAGATGTTGTATAAGTATTTTAATTAAAGATGAACATGATGATGGGAGAGGTGAGGTATAAATATTTCAATTCAAAGTAAACATGATGATGGGAAAAGTGAGGTATACGTATTTCAATTAAAAATAAATGAACAATGAGGAGAGGATGTACCAGTAACTTGGTGGACATGGGACTTACATGCCCATTAAGTAAACCAGGCAATGCCACTGCTGCATTATGCTGAAGTATACAAACAGACAACCTCATTTAATTAGTGTTGGGTCGGTAGGATATTCAAATACATGTAAAATGTATTTTATTGAAAGTTAAGGAACTCAATGCACTTTAAGTTCAGTAAGACACAGTGCTGAATATCAGGTAAGGAGAACACCATCTTTTTGATATTAAATATTTCCGTCACATGGTGTCGCTGTTTAATAAAAAATAGTGTCAGCAGACAAGAAAAAGGGCAGCTCCTCCTTCCTTTGTGAAGACGTCTGCAGGAAATAAAGGCACCATCTTGACTGTTTGACATAGGACTAGAATGGCACATTTGCAATGCACTTGAATTGATTTTTTAATTATTTGTCCGCCTAGAAGAGCAGCAAGAGAGCGTATTTCTTTACTTTCTGCATGACTACTATTCACCATGATTCTTTGCCGACGAGGCTCCTGGATAAGGAGCTGCCTGCTACCCTTGGTTCTGTTTCACACAGCCTGGGAGATGGGAAGCAGCCATCTCCATTACACTGTACTGGAGGAGTCCCAGCATGGCACTTTTGTGGGACGCATTGCCCAGGATCTGGGATTGGCGGTGAGTGAGCTGGTGCCGCGGATGTTCCGGATGGAGTCTGAAGACCATAGGGATTATTTTGAGGTAAATGTACAGAATGGGATTTTGTTTGTTAATTCCAGGATAGACAGGGAAGAGCTGTGTGCTAAGAGCCCTATTTGTGCCATTCATTTGGAGGTGATTGTGGAGAAACCCCTGATAATTTTCCATGTAGAAGTGGAGATCAAGGACATAAATGACAATCCACCTATTTTCTCTGTGAATCAGTTCAATCTTTCTATATCAGAATCAACAGTGTCTGACTCTCGCTTTTCACTAGAGGGTGCATCAGATGCAGATATTGGTAAAAATGCTCTTATTACATACAGGGTCTGCCCAAATGAATATTTTGTTGTGGACGCTCACAATAAGCATGGCAAAAGCACATCGCCAGAGCTTGTTTTAAAGAAGACTTTGGACAGAGAGGAAATCTCTTTGCATCATTTATTGCTTACAGCAACAGATGGGGGTCAGTTGGAACTCACAGGGACAGTACAGCTAGTGATATCAGTGCTGGATGTTAATGATAACAGACCTGTTTTTAATCAGTCAATCTATGAAGTGTGTTTACTGGAAAACTCAGCTGATGGGACCCTAGTTGTTAAAACAGAAGCAACAGATCTTGACGATGGCATCAGCAAGGAAATTATTTATGCCTTTAATACACCCCTAGCCTCAACTGCTCAAACCATGTTTGACATTGACCAAAATACTGGAGAGATAAGGCTGAAAGGTAAACTCGATTTTGAAGATGAAAATGTATATGAAATCCAAGTGCAAGCTATTGATAAAGGCCAACCCCCAATGATAGGTAACTGTAAAGTTTTGATAGAAGTGTTGGACGTGAATGACAATGCTCCTGAGATATCTTTGAAATCCCTGTCAGTGCCAGTGCCGGAGGACTCTCCGCTGGGTACTGTAGTTGCCCTCATCAGTGTCTCAGACAGAGATTTTGGAACCAATGGCCAAGTGAGTTGCTTCTTGTGGCCTCCAGGGCTCCCTTTCAAGCTGACATCAACCTTCAAGAATTACTATTCATTGGCACTGGCTGAGCCTTTGGATCGAGAGCAGGTGGCTAAGTATAAGCTGGTGGTGACAGCCCGAGACCAAGGGGACCCATCACTGTCAGCCAGTAGTAGCTTGGTGGTTCCTGTTGGAGATGTGAATGACAATCCCCCCACATTCATGCAGCCCTTCTACACTGTCTTTGTGAGAGAGAATAACCCGCCTGGTGCTCACATCTTCACAGTGTCTGCCTCAGACCCAGATAAGGACGAAAACTCCTTGGTTAGCTACTGGATAGATGAGAAACTGTGGCCGCTATCAAGCTACATCTCAGTGCACTCGGAGAGTGGGAAGGTCTTTGCCTTGCAGCCACTGGACTATGAGGAGCTGAAGCTGCTGGAATTCCAGGTGAGAGCAAAGGATGCTGGGCTGCCGTCCTTGCAGAGCAACATGACCATGCAGGTCTTTGTGGTGGATGAGAACGACAATGCACCTGCAGTGTCTGGGCAAGAAGAAGAGATTCCCCTCCTGCTGGTAATTCCTGTGAGGGCTGGACATGTGATTGGCAAGATCCATGCCTTGGATGCTGACTCAGGGTATAATGCATGGCTACGCTACGAGCTGCTTGAAGCTACCAGTGGCCCTTGGCAGGTAGGGCTGTACAGTGGTGAGATCAGCACCGCACGTTCCTTGCATGAGACAGAAAGTGGAAACAGTCAGAGAATGCTGGTTCTGGTGAAGGACCATGGCAAACCAGTTTTGTCAACTACAGCCACACTGAGTATATCATTCGTGCCAAGTGCCCAGGCTGTTCAAGCTGATGCTCACCTTTACAGGATGGGAGGGAGCCCAAAGCCTTTAATGGATAATGCCAATATGTACCTAATCATTGCCATTTGCTCAGTGTCTAGTGTGTTCTTGCTGACAATCTTAGTATATATGGCCCTACGATGCCAGCGTCAGGCAAAAGACATGGTGATGTATGGCCCAGGCACAGCCACGTTGGTATGTGCCAGTGAAGTAGGAAGTTGGTCATATTCAAATCGTCATAGTCACATCCTCGGGGGTGTGGCAGGAGAGGCTGGTATCAAAAGTGACCTCATGGTTTTTACCCCCAATATACCTATCTTGGGAGATGGTGGAGAGGTAGGGAATATGAAGGAGATGGCCCCAGATTCATCTGGACAGGTAAGTACCTGATTTAAATTTTAGAAATGCTATGGTTTGAGGTTGCGGTGCTTCATATGTCAATATGTATGGCATGCATTTATGTTCTAAGCATGACTGTATATAGTAACATTTATGTGGTTGTTTTAGTTCTTGATTGGTTTTCTGTAGGTTATATCTTGCCTTAGCCTTTGAGGCATAAATGGTATGAATGTTTTAAGAAAATGAAACAAATACACTTGATCATGTGAAACAATTTGTCTCTCTCCAAACATTTGACTTGGACTAAGTGGACTTGGGCCTGATTTTCTAGAGTTTTGCTGATTTCTTGGTTCCTCCCTCGTGTTGCTTAGCCCTGGCATTGCCAGTTCTTCTTCTAATTATGAGATATTTTGGGGACTAAGTCTTACTTGTCACCTCTCCAGTATGATTAAATTGGTTTCAAAACAATTATTGTTGTTCAGAGTAGCTACACATGAAAAATGGCATTGCAGGGTATATCTTTCTTTTTACTTTCTCACTTGCTTCAGTGATCTGCAACAATTTGCTCCATAGGCAATTTACTGTACTCACTCTCTGCTTGTGAGTCATGGTGGGCTGAATTATGTTAATGAATCCTCAAAATATGTATATGTGTATGCTTATTCTGTAGTTTTAAAGTGGCAGGGAAATTCTTGTGTCGAAAAGTTGGTGGCAAAAATAAGGGGCGGGGGAAATTGATGAGTTTTACGATTCCGTTTTGCAAGAAGGCATCAGGAATGTTCAAACCAACTTAAGCTGTTGACTGTAGGAAATGTTATCAATGCCAGTGGAGGGAGATGACTGAAGGAAATCACAGAAGAACTCTAAGAGTCTTCATACTTTTAGGAATAAATAGTTTGTGCTAGGAAATTTAGGGAGCAGCTTGAGTCAACTATTTTTTTTAAATGCTGATATAACAGGATGTGTCACAGCGTGTTCAAGATCGGTGTAGTACAATCCTGTAGAGAGTTACTGCAGTCTAAATCCATAGATTTGAATGGGTTTAGACTGGATTAGTTCTCCATAGGATTACACTGTTAATTTTGTATGATCTAGGCAATGACAGATATTTTAAATTCAGTTTTGTAAGCACAAAATTGGAAGGAGCTGCAAACACAAGGAGTAAAAAAGGATTCAAGTCTAAGAGGACCATGAGAAATTAAAGCTTGAAGCCATAAATAACAAAACAGAATTTGCAGAGTTTTGCACATTGGGAATGAAAAATAACAAACACAAAATGCAATGGGGTTGGCTAGGCAACCGTATTTTTTTAAAAAAATCCAGGGACTGCAGATCACAAAAGATGAGTTCATAATTTAAAGAAAATTGCATTTTGATTTTGTATTTGCAATACTAATGTGCTTCTATTATAATCTCCCTATGTATCATATAATCCCCAATCCTTTGTGACCATCACATGGGTGCACTAGTGCTTTCCCAGCAAATGAGATCTCATAGCCTTGTATGCAAACTATGAGGAGCAGGAATAGGGGTGAGATGGGGGCTATTTAGGGATGAAGTCATTGGATGCTCCTCGGTGAAGCATTTTTCTTACTATGAATGGTTAGATGTACTGTAGCACTTCAGTGGCTCACTTGTTTGGAGCTAGCACATAGACAGAAGGGAAGACCCTTTACCACCCTACTTTCTGGGGCAGCGTCTAAACTTATATGGGCTGTAACCCTGGAGGGCATTATTACTCTTCCTTTGAGGTTTCATTCTAGTTTATAATGTCTGGCTCGTTCACCTTTGAGGAAGAATGTTTCAAAAAGGAGACATATTTTCAAAACACAGCACACAACAATATTATTTATAAAAAGGTAAAGGTTTCCCTTGCTCGAAAGCCAGTCGGATCCGACTCTAGGGTGCGGTGCTCATCTCTGTTTCCAAGCTGAAGGGCCAGTGCTGTCTGAAGACATTTCTGTGGTCATGTGGCCAGCATGACTAGACACCGAGGTGCACGGAATGCTGTTACCTTCCCACTGAAGTGGTACCTATTTATCTACTTGCAATTTCTTGCTTTCGAACTGCTAGGTTGGCAGGAGCTGGGACCAGAGTCGGGCACTCACTCCATCGTGCAGCACTTGGGTCTCGAACTGCTGAGCAACCGACCTTCTAGCCTGCAGTTCAGCGTCTTAATCGCCGAGCCACCGCACCCCTAAATATTATTTATATTTATTTATTTAGAACATTCCTGCCTTCCCTCATGGTTCAAGGTGGCATACAATAATACTTGAAAACATTTTCAGTTAAAACCAAAAATAAAATACCAATCCTCAGATCTCTTCCCCTTCCCCCCTGAAAAGATGGCTACCCTTCAACCCTCCCAAACCCTGGGAAACAGGCAGGCCTTGGAGCACTTCCTGAAGATTCCCGAGGACCCCCCCCCCTTCAGGAAGCCCATTCCACAGAGCTGGAGCCAAGATGGAAAAGGCCCAGGCCCTAGTCAATGCCAGATGGGCCACCCTAACTGGTGGGATAACCAGTGGATAGCTGCCTGATGATCATAGTTGGCACACAGGGACATATGGAAGGAGATAGTCCTTCAAATACAGAGGACTATCTGTCTTTAATTGCTGATCACTCAGACAAGGAGGAGTGAGCCCAACCTGGCACAAAATAGATCAAGATTTTGGTTGCAGCTAGTAATTCCTAACTGGAGTAAACAGCTGGGGAGTAGAATAGATAAACTGAAAATAGCAAAGGAGAGCAATCCAAAATATGCAGGAAAAATAGCTATATAGGAAAAAACATCATCCTTTACTCTTAGAGTCCAATCAGACGGCTCTTTAGATCTGCACGAGGCACAATTGACTCACGGATCTAAAGGTAATGTCCAGACACAAACATCTTGGAAATGTCCCTCTTCCGTGGGCATCCCGTTTTGCCACACTTCGGAGCTGTACTTAAAAGATAGCACTTTCGGTTACCTGCGGGACAACTGTGTACTTTCAGCCGTCTGATCGTTCCACCAGTGTGCAATCCTCCTGTCGGGGTGGTCTGACGTCAGACCATCCCAAGCGGGCACCATTTAAAAAAATCTCTACACATGCGCGGATCAACAAGGTCACGTCTATGCGCATGCGCAAAAAGTGTTTTTAAACCCCCCCCCAACTGCACATGCCTCCTTCAGTGGACGTCATCTAGATTGCATGGTTGGTCATTCACTTCTGTTATTTGATGGTACGTCCCAGTTTGCCTACAACATGCTTTCTTCTACATTTTGGAGCCTACTCTTTCAGAGGGAATAACTGCAGTTATCAAGTCTGGATATTACTGATGCATAGATCAACATACAAATAGGAGTTCTGTCTAGGAACGTTAAGAGTCACTGTGCAAGATGAAGATGAAAAAAACATGCAGGCAACCATGGCCAAGCGTTTTCCATGTTATGCGTATACCTGTTCTAAATCCTTCATGTTCACATTTTCATAAATAGATAATACTATAGAACAGTAGACTTCAAAGTAATCTGGACACTGAAACAATTTCTACAGCAAGCATATTTGAATGGAAGCACAAAACCATGAAGATAAACTTTGGCTGATAAGCAAAATAAGGTCCAAGTGGATGTCTCTGGGCCAACTTTGTTCAACAGGAGTCTGATCCTGGGATGGGTTGCTCATGACCTAGTAACACTTCTTTGATTTTACCTATTTACAATTTCTGGAAAGGAAGACAACCCTAAAAGATTAACATAATCAAAGTTGAGACATAGCCGCTACATATTAAAAACAATCCGTAGATGAGAGGAAACAGTGTTGTGCCAATCCAGTGCCTCCCCTCTCCCCAAGGATGGTGCTTCTGAATACAGACACATGATGTCGCTCTTGTCTACAAAATCCCTTTTGGAAACCCGTGAATATATCACCCCACCCTCAGATGAAAAGCAAAGCCCTTGATGAAAGAACACAGGGAAAGCCACGGAACACAATTTGTTCAGCTCAGCTTCGTTCCTGTGAAAACGGGGATTCCTATGTTTTCAGAGCACTACTCCTTAACGAAAGGATGAATTCTTAACGTGAAGGAACCAAATATTTTTGCCATCATTCTTACGAAATTTGACTTGATGGGGAGAAGGCAGCTGCTGCAGCTATCCCTGCTCTACACAGCTTGGTTGATGGGGAGCAGCCAGCTCCATTATTCAGTACTGGAGGAATCCCAGCATGGCACCTTTGTGGGCCGCATTGCCCAGGATCTGGGACTGGAGGTGAGTGAGCTGGTGCCTCGGATGTTCCGGTTGGTTTCCAAAGACCACAAGGATTATTTAGAGGTAAATGTCCAGAATGGGATTTTGTTTGTTAATTCTCGGATAGACAGGGAAGAGCTGTGTGCCCAGAGCCCTGTTTGTGCCATTCACTTGGAGGTGATTGTGGATAAACCTCTGATGATCTTCCATGCAGAGGTTGACATCAGGGATATAAATGACAATGCTCCAGTTTTCCCAGTAAATGATCACAAACTGTTTATTTTAGAATCTAGGCTCCCTGGCTCATATTTCCCACTAGAGGGAGCTTCAGATTCAGATATTGGTTCCAATAGTCTGCTTACCTATAAACTTAGTTCTAATGATTATTTTCAGTTACGTGAAGAAAAGCACAGTGACCGCAGTAAGTCTCTAGCACTTGTGTTACAGAATGCCCTGGACAGAGAAAAATACTCTGAACATCATTTATTACTCACAGCCACTGATGGGGGACAGCCAGAGCTCAGTGGCACAGTACAGCTGGAGATAATTGTATTAGATGCAAATGACAATGTACCTTCCTTCAACCAGTCTGTATATGAAGTTCTTCTGCCAGAAAACATCACAAAGGGAACCTCTGTCTTTACACTAACTGCTTATGATGTGGATGAGGGAACGAATAAAGAGATATCGTATTCGTTGAGCAATATGATGCCTTCCCAGTTAAAACGCAGTTTCTCTATAGACTCAAACACGGGGGAAATTAAAGTGAAAGGAGAGATAGATTTTGAAGATACTAATTTGTTTGAACTACAAGTTGAAGCAGCTGATCAAAGCCCATATCCCCTGGTTGGACACTGCAAAGTACTGATCCAGGTTCTAGATGTGAATGACAATGTCCCAGAGCTATTAGTGACATCCCTGTCCGTTCCAGTGCCTGAGGACTCCTCAGTAGGGACAGTGGTAGCCCTGATCAGTGTCTTTGACAAAGACTCTGGTGTCAATGCACAAATAAACTGTTCCCTCTGGCCATCTAGGCATCCCTTCAAGCTGACATCCACCTTCAAGAATTATTACTCACTCGTACTGGCTGAGCCACTGGACCGGGAGCAGGTGGCCGAGTATAGTTTGGTGGTGATAGCCCAAGACCAAGGGGACCCCCCACTGTCAGCCAGCAGCAGCCTGGTGGTGCCAATCAGCGATGTGAATGACAATGCACCTACCTTTGCAAAGCCTTCATACACAGTATTTGTGAAGGAGAACAACCCGCCTGGTGCTCACATCTTCACAGTGTCTGCTTCAGATCCAGATGTGGCTCAGAATGCCTTGGTCAGCTACTGGCTGGATGAGAAGCTCTGGCCCCTATCGAGCTACATCTCAGTGCATTCGGAGAGTGGGAAGCTGTATGCCCTGCAGCCCTTGGATTATGAGGAGGTGAAGCTGCTGGAGTTCCAAGTGAGGGCCAAGGATGCTGGGCTGCCCTCCTTGTGTGGCAACGTGACCATCCAAGTTTTTGTGTTGGATGAGAATGACAACGCACCTGCAGTGTCTGGTCCAGCTGAGGATACCCCCACTCTGGTGAAGGTTCCAGTGGCAGCTGGGCATGTGGTGGGCAAGATCCATGCCCTGGATGCTGATTCGGGCTACAACGCCTGGCTTCGCTATGAATTGCATGATGCAACTAGCAGCCCATGGCGGGTGGGGCTTTACAGTGGTGAAATCAGTACCATACGTACTCTGGAGGAGACAGAGGGCAGCAACAGCCAGCGTCTGCTTGTTCTAGTGAAGGATCACGGCAAGCTGGTACTGTCAACAACAGCGACCTTCAGTGTGTCACTGGTAGCTAGCGCCCAGGCTGCCCAGACTGATGCCCGTCTCTCTAGGATGGGTGGGAGCGCAAAGCCCCTGGCAGACACTGCTAATCTCTACCTGATCATCGCCATCTGTTCAGTGTCCAGCTTGTTCCTACTTGTGATCCTCGTGTATGTGGCCCTCCGATGCCAGAGCCAGGCCAAGGAGGCAGTGATGTACGGCCCTGGGACGGCCACTCTGGTGTGTGCCAGTGACATGGGCAGCTGGTCATATTCCAATCGCCACAGCCACATCCTAGCGGGGGTGAGTGGAGATGCTGGTGCCAAAAGTGACCTTATGGTTTTCAGCCCCAACATTCCTGTCTTTGCCATGAATGGAGAGGTAGGAAATGTGAAGGACCTTGTTGCACTTTCCCCTGGAGAGGTGAGTAATGTAGAGTCCTTATGATCACTGAAACTGATATTTTATTTTTTCTTCTAGTGTGGAAATATTGAATAATTTTTCTGGAGCATGGGGCAGCTATTGCACATCAAGGGGTTTTTATACCACTGTACTCTCCGTAATCTCTAACTGTTCTCCCATTTATTGAATTTCATGTCTATGTTTTGATCCAGGCTCAAGGCATGATAATGTTGCTTAAGCTAGAACAAAAACTTTTCTACTCTCATTACTTATTCTGATCTTGGATGAACCCCCATTGAACATATTGCAGAGAGGTGAGGACATGGGGTTGTACTATCCTTGGTTGGTGAAGTGAGGAAAGCTTCATGAGCTATTCAAGTTATGCCCTTGTATAATAGGTACTTCGTGATGAAGGTCTTATAAATACTTTAGGAAAACTTACTGATATAGTTGATAATCTGTCCCAGACCTGAACATTGCTGACACAGATATGTTTTACACTGGTGGTTTGGTTTTTCAATTGTAAATGAGTATAAATTTGTATAAGGCTGTATTTCTTTGAACTGTGGTCAAATTTCAGTCATTATGTTACACTGAAACAGTATATTACCAGTTTCATAAATACTGGGCAAGATCCAGATACTGTTGGAATAAATGGGCCTCAGACCTGTCTTTACATGCTGCAGAATGAGGTGGTAGAATGGTAGAATGGCCACTGCAAGGGATAGTGGTTATGGTTTTCAAATTTAGCATTAACAACTCCTTATAAGTAGAAAGCTAGAGATAGGCATGAACTCCTGTCCTTCATGTACTCAGTTTTCACTTGCAGGGTGTTTTTACGTGGGGGAGCACAAAGCATGTGAGTAATCAAACATATCGAAGGTAATTTAAAACGTAATTTAAAACGAAGGTAATTTAAACCAAGAACTCCCCATAGGAAATGGATAGTGTTGAATTCCTGGCTGCAGGGACAAAACCTCTTCTTAAATATTGATTGGATGCAGCCTAAATTTTCCAATGGTGGGATGGAACATTCCTGCCTCTCTCCTCTCATTGCAGCCCACTATGAATGCTACTCCTGGAGGATGGGGGCCCCAGAGGAATGCTGGGTTGGGTTTTTTTGCAATCACAGGAAACTGTCCATTTAGTCTGGATTCAACACATCGTATGTTAATCTCTGAGTATTCTATTATTAAAAGGTAAAGGTTCCCTTGCTCGAAAGCCAGTTGAATCCAACTCTAGGGTTGCAGTGCTCATCTCCGTTTCAAAGCCAAAGAGCCAGCGCTGTCCGAAGATGTTTCCATGGTCATGTGGCCGGCATGACTAAACACCAAGGCGCACGCTGTCACCTTCCCACCGAAGTGGTCCCTATTTATCTACTTGCAATTTCTTGCTTTCGAACTGCTAGGTTGGCAGGAGCTGGAACTAGAGATGGGAGCTCACTCCGTCTTGCGGCACCCGAGTCTCGAACTGCTGAACTACTGACCTTCCACAGCCTGCAGTTCAGCGTCTTAACCACTTGAGCCACCGTAGCTCTATTATTATTATTATTATTATTATTAATAATAATAATAATTCTATTATTACCATCAACCATACTGTGAATTTAACTTATGATTCAAGACGACCTGGTTTAAATGATATCTTTAGGTAAGAATCCTATAATGTAACACTCTGGGCTTGTCACTTAGTAAATATTAAGCAATACTAGAAATAAATTCATGAACATTTTACCATTGACAGCATTGGGATGTTTGGCCACATATACTAGTGTATGATACATACAACATGTATTTTTCAGCATCAAGTGGAGATCTGTTGTTGAGTTCTATTATTGATTTCATGGTTTATTAGCTAGCAAATACTTGACAAATAATCTTGATTAAGTAGTCTAATGTGAAAAAAGAGTTTTGTCAAGCATGCTCTGATAGTGAAAATATAGAATACATTGTGATGAAGGGGCAGGTAATGTGTGTTGATTAAAACATATTATCTTGTTGTTCCTAGCGCAATTATGTTAGAATGGTTTTAGTGTTAACCTCTTGTAATGGCCATTGGCCCTATGCAATAAAACTGAATTGAACTGAACTGGTCTCAGGAAAGGGCACATCACGGGCATCATTTAGCATTTAAATGAGAATGGGCAAGAAAATTTTGACTTTTGATAATATGTGTAAAACCTCAAGTGCCTTCATTTGTTCTGCTAATAAGAAAAGTAAAACTGAAGAACAGAGAGCTTTGAATTACAGGGTAGTTGTGTTTCTGTGCCCCTTTGTTTACTAATTGCTAGCTTATTTTTGCCCTGACCTGGATAGCCCAGGCCAGCCCGATCTCATCAGATCTTGAAAGAGGAGGAAGAAGAAGAGTTGGATTTATACCCCACTGTTCACACGGAGTCTCAGAGTGGTTTACAATCTCCTTCCCTTCCTCTCCACACAACAGACACCCTGTGAGGTAGCTAGGGCTGAGAGAGCTATGAGAGAACTGCTCTTGGGAGAACAGCTCTGAGAGAACTGTGACTGACCCATGGTCCCCCAGCTGCCTGCATGTGGAGAGGTGGGGAATCAAACCCGGTTCTCTAGATTAAAGTCCACCGCTCTTAACCACTATACCAAACTGGCTTGGCCCTGGCTAGAATTTTGATTGGAGAACACTAAGGAATACCAGGATCATGATGTGGAGGCAGACAATGTCAAACCACCTCTGAACGTCTCTGCCATGAAAACCCTACGGATTCGCCATAAGTTGGCTGTGACTTGACAGGAATTTTTTTTTTAGTTTTTTTTTTGACACGGATACTATTATTGTTAAGTCACTTGCTTAACAAAGAAGTCGGAGAGCGATTCAGCAAGAACACAACTTTATTCTTCAACTTGAACACAACTCCAACACGGATCAACATCTGATAGCCAGAACAGAACAGTTCAGCTTTTACATTGCAGTTGTCCTGCTTTTAAACTCTCCCGGCTAATGTAGCCACGCCCACTGTACAAATACCAACCTATACGGTTGTTCATATAAGGACCAATCACGGACGTTCCCGCTCAGGGAGCTTGCTGTAAGTGATTGGCTAGGTGCTTTCTGGGCTAGCAATGCGATTGGATGGATTTGGATCCTAGCCCAGGACGAAGCTCAACATGGCAAGTCAATTTGATGTTTCACATACATCATGCATTCAATGGCAGCTATTGAATACTTTACAATTATAATAACTAGAAAAGCCAAGAAAGATGAAGCAGTGCAGGATGGCCAGACTTACTCCCTCCTAGGGAAAAGAGCTCTTCAACTCTAGATTCTTGTGCTCCTCAGTTTAGCCAAAGCCTCTCTGCCGGCCCTGACCATTGCTGTTTATAGAAGAGAGGAAATACAGAACAATATTATATGGAAGGTGACATATTTCAGATGCTTCAATTAAAGATGTCCTTATGTTGATGAAAATATTTTAACAATGGCCAAACCCACGATGTTTTGAGGAATCAGGACTTCTAAAGGGAACAATAATCTGAGGGAGCAAAGCAGATCAGGCTGTAAGAAAAGGTTGGATATATATGGATAGAAGAGAGGAAATATAGAACAATATTATATGGAAGGTGTCATATTTCAGATGCTTCAATTAAAAATGTCCTTATGTTGATGAAAATATTTTAACAATGGCCAAACCCACAATGTTTTGAGGAATCGGGACTTCTAAAGGGAACAATAATCTGAGGGAGCAAAGCAGATCAGGCTGTAAGAAAAGGTTGGATATATTTAATGTATACTGTATTTAAGAAGGATATTTTACTGTGTTCATTTTTATGCCTCTTCATTTCTGACTTGCATAGCCCAGCTCAGCTTTGTAAGACTGAAAGTACTTTGATCTAAATTTATTACTATTTAAATTTACTCTTTAAAGTTAATAGGTACTCCACCTAACCTGTTGGTTTGCTGTTGTCTTTTAAAACATAATTAAAGTACCTATTTAAGACTTGTAGGTAAACTTTACAAGGAATTACATTGGCAAATAATATCTGCAAACTGCATGTGAATTCTAGCATTAAATATATATATATGGCATTTATACCAATTGTCACAAGATGTCGCTACCCACTTAAAAGTGAAATGCTCTTTTGAGACAAAGACCAGAGCCCCTCCCAGCTATACAGTAAGAACAGACACTGTCAGATAACAGGATGGATACAATGGTTTAGTTACAGGGGGTTTCGTAGCATTTAATTTAAATATTTAAGAGGTGATTTAATTTTTAGGAACAGGAATGAAATTTGCCATTGCTATGGTCATTTTGCTTCAACGCTGCTTGGCAAGGAGGCGACTGCTGCAGCTGATTTTTCTCTGCATGGCTTGGAAGATGGGGAATAACCAGCTCCATTATTCAGTGCCGGAGGAATCCCAGCACGGCACCTTTGTGGGCCGCATTGCCCAGGATCTGGGGCTGGAGGTGAGTGAGCTGGTGCCTCGTATGTTCCGGATGGAATCTCAAGGTGGCGGGGACTATTTAGAGGTAAATGTCCAGAATGGGATTTTATTTGTTAATTCCAGGATAGACAGGGAGGAGCTGTGTGTCAAAAGCCCTGTTTGTGCCATTCACCTGGAAGTGATTGTGGATAAACCTCTGAAGGTCTTCCACATAGAGGTAGAGATCAAGGACATAAATGACAATGCTCCTACATTCCGTCAAAAGGAACAGAAAGTCTTTGTGTCTGAATTGAGAATACCTGGCTCATTTTTCCCATTGGAGGGAGCGTCTGATGCAGATATTGGTCCAAACTCTCTCATCTCCTATACAATCAGCCCTAATGACTGCTTTACTCTTGATGTTAAGAGAAAACATGATGAAAGCCAATTATTAGGACTTCTTTTAAAGACCTCTCTAGATAGGGAGGTCAAGGCTATGCATCGTTTGCTGCTCACAGCCACTGATGGGGGCAAACCAGAGCTCAGTGGCACTGCTCAGCTGGTGATTGTTGTGCTTGATGAGAATGACAATGCACCAGCCTTTAACCAATCTGTTTACAGAGTCCAAATGACAGAGGATGTTCCAAGTGGGTCATTAGTGTTTAGATTAAATGCCACAGACCCAGATGAAGGAATAAATA